ACGTTCCCATGCATCTCAATACAACGCCCCCCCCCCCCCCCCCCGTTCAGGGAGAACAGGTGAAGCTCCAAAGCCAAACCATCTTCAGTTGTTGTTGTGAGTACATCAGTACTCAGGAGTACTTCACCTAGTTTATGTACTCTTGATATTTGTACAAGGAGGGAACGTGGGCTGGAGACGCTCCCAGGTCTTCGTAGGTTTCCTTTTCCTCTTCAGGAATTCTACTGGTCTGTCATGTCGACCAATGACCTGTGGTTCGGAGGTCGGGGTCGATATTAACAAACCTCCCCCACCCCTCCCCCCCTGCCCCACCCCACCCCCCCGGATTCTTATAGATCAACAGCCTGTGGAACCCACAAGGTCAGAGGTCAGACAGAACGGAGCGCCGTCTGCTGAGAACAACAACAACAACAACAACAACAACAACAACAACTGACGTGATCGTGACTTCACACCATGTGTTCACAGATGTGGGTCTGGTCCAGTCTGGTCCAGTCTGGTCCAGTCTGGTCCAGTGTTGGTGGAAGTGGACCATGACTTAGTTAGTCAACCACTTGACCAAACCTGAACCAGAGTTCAAACAGGAAGTGGTTGAAGACGGTGTTTATTGATCCGTTAGTCGAGTGATAAGAAGGAGATTAAAGATCTGACTGGGACAAGGTCCAATCAGAGCTGACTTCCTGTCGGAGATGGGAGGAGAGTCAATCAGAGCTCTGTTTGTTGACTGGAAGAGCAGACATAAAAATGAACAGCCAATCAGATTGAACCAAATCTGAAAACATCGACTGAAATGTCACAATCATTTACAATTAATAATAAAAATAATGTGATTCATGTGTTTTTATATTCCTTAATAAAATGCTGTAAAAGCCAAACAAGTACATTTGAAGGATATGAAAGTACTACACACTGCAGTACTACACACTGCAGTACTACACACTGCAGTACTACACACTGCAGTGAGTCTGAAATTCAAACCTCTGTATCCATGAATCTGGCTGTTCAAACGAGCAGTAGTTGTATGTACTTCTGAGAGTACACACACAGACACACACACACAGACACACACACACAGACACAGACACACACAGACTACCTCAAACATCCATACACACACACATGCACACACTGCGGCTTTTTATTGGAATTCTTGGACCTCCCACATTCCTTCTTGGAAGGTTAATAGTTGCCGGCTGTGTTGCATTACACATGAGGGGAAAACACAACAGTCACTGACTGTCTGTGTCAGCCGCCGCCGCCGCTGGTCACTGACCACTGGTC